TTCATAAGCTATAAAAATACAATATGTTTATTTCCATGAATAAAAATGAAAAACATAGCTATTTTTTCGATGATTTTTTCATACTATTGTGAGGTGCATATGATGTGGAAAAATATCTTTATATGATTATTTTCTCATTACTATGTTGTTTTTGAGTGTTATCTATTCGTATGCAAAGATCTTCTGAACACTAGCTATGATATTATACATGCGTTGCTTTACTAATATTTTTCTATTGATACGAATGATGATTCACCTACTCTCATGTATTATCCAACCCAAAATAAAAATCAGTTTGCCATTTTTCAAATAGCTTTTAATAGGAACAAGATAGAGAGCTGCAATTTTCCCCATTTGAAAGAGCAATATTTGGGCCATCGATCTGTATAAAATTCATTAGGACGAAAAATGTTTATTCATAGAGAATTATCGATTAAATTTTTTTCTGGGTATAATTTTCCTCAAGTTTCACAATAATCTGAACTCAAATGATACCTAAATGTAGCTTAACGACACTTTTTTCACTATAAAATATGTAAATGCTCTTGAGAATCCACTTCGTAAAAGAGATCGCGGATTGATCGAAAATGTGATGATTTTATAGTGAAAAAAGTGTGATAGGCAATCTTGTTCGAAAAGCATCTTTCGTCCTCATGAGTTTTATACAGATCGATGGTTCATATGCAGTGATCGTTTGGAAAATAAAAACGAAGTTCATTTTCGATTAGATAGATGGATTCATTCGTTAAGAGGAAACCAATTTAATTGAATCGTAACACAACTTAACGATTAGTTGGGAAAGAAGATAGGATATGGAGCTGGCAAGTCACGAATGGCGCTGACGAATGACTCGTCGTTTGTTTCTAAGATTGATATGAGCCTTTCTTTCGTGAAGCTTTCTAGAGATTGGACAATAGTTTTCAGAAGAGCTCGACCAAGTAGATAGAATCTGGGGTCGGTGGGTCACAACTGGCGCCCTCGAGAGACGCTGATGAGCGACGCGCCATTAATTTACGAGGTAGACACATCTTTTCTTGTGTAAAGCTTTGAATGAAATATGGAGTATTTTTCGAAAGAACTGAGACAGTTGTTGTGGTGAAGACGACTAATTCAAAATCGTACCAATTTCTCATAAATAGCCAAAAAAATGTAATCTATGATGAGAATACCGCGCGCATATTACATATTCCGAACTCGACATTGCCAGTGTTGCTTTTTCCAAATTGCAAAAGTTGAAAGACTCGTTCGTATGGTGCCGGCTATAACATCACACAAAATGACGATTTATCTGATAGTATTTGTCAAAGTGAATAGAATGAATTCAGTCGAGGGTGAAGCGAGTCGTAGTGACGAGCGTTACTTGTCATTATACAGTAGATAAAATAGCTGGCCGTCGAATGGATTGCAAATGTGGCTCAGCTAAATGTCATCATCGAGTTCTCTTATCTTTGATCATAATTAAATAAAGAACAAAACAGATTTCGTAGAATAGTGCCTTTGTTGTCTCGTTTTTTCTTGGAAAGTGACGAGGACAAAAAAAACGAATTTTAACATATGTAGGTAATCATTATTTGGTTTTTTGCTTCGTTGATTTCTTAGATGGATTTATCAAAGGATAAATAAAGTTATTTTTGAACAAAATAAAAATCTTAAATTTTGAAATAAATCTCTAGAAAGTCTTCTTAGTCTTTTAATTAGAGTGATTTTTATCAAATAGGAAATCCATTTTATAATCTATTGGGTTTAAATGAACAAATTTATATGAAAAATCTTCCAATTGAATCAATAGCATAATCAAATGAATTTATTTTATTGAAATTTTTCTTGGTGTCTCAAAGATAAATGCAAACGGTATTGAATATAGATTTGTTCACTGACAAGATCCAGTCTTGTATATATTATTCGAAAATATTTTTATAAAGGACCAAATGAATGCATCAAATCAAATAAAAAAACAAAATGATTGTTAAAGGCATATTTAATAAGTTATGGAGCGTTCGAAAGGAATGATATAGCTCTTGTGCTCGTGAAACATTTTTTTCATATTAAAGAATATGTGATGTTGATTAACTCGATGTTGCTTCAGAACTAAATATTAAAGTTTCTAAATTGTAAAGAAGATTATTCAACTACTTTAATCCTGTATCCCCTGTTGGGACATTTTTGACCCATTCATGAAACTTTCTGTTTGGAATATTAAAACATCGAATCGATATGATGATTTCAGAACATTGTGTAAAGCTGCTAATCAGCTATGAATTCGAAAAAAAAGCTTCTTTTCATCATTCCTTGGTTAGGATATATGAGTTGAAAAATAGTATTTTCTCAAGAAAGTGAAAAGAATCTGTTTTATTTAGTTCCACAAACTGATTATTCTGATGTTTATGTGGCTGGTACATAATTAATACTATGAGTATAATCTATTTGCAGAATAGTTTTTAAAAATTTCTTAATTATAGATATAAAAGCAATGTTTTTCATGACAATTTGGATCATTTTTTATCCATTCGTAAGGAGTAACATAAAAAATGATTTTTCTAGAGGTATATTTTCTTCAATACAAACTCATAAGATAATATGACCTTCATGGTACACACTTTATTAGAACGATAAAGATAGAAACTTGTAGCCTCTGTTATGGTCTTCCTTATCAACGAGACTTTAACAATAGGACTAAGTGATTTCAGATTGGCATCAGTCATCATATATCATCCTTCGAAATGACTCATTTTTCAGAAAATAGTTCATGATAAGTAATCCTTCAACTTTATACAGATGAAAATAGCAGTATAACTGTGAAAAAGTCAATTTAACAATAAATTCAATTTTTGTGTCATTCAAAACGAATGAGTCATTGTAGACCCTTCTGCATCTCCATAGTGAAATAACTTGGCCTAAATTTAACTACACCGATGTCATAACTAGCATTTGTACAAACTACTCTAATGGTTGTCTCAACACTAAAGCTACTGAATGAGTCCTGGAAGTAAAGGATTAAGCAAGAGTTAGTATTACAGTATAATAACATTTCATTTTCAAGTCGTGCCGCATATTCAGGAAATCAAGAATGTGATAGTTTTTTGAAAATAAAAATATCTTCATCTTGTATAGAGATGAACATGGAAATGTAGCATTACTCTGGCAGATAAGATTTCCTTCAGAATCTATTTTGTCCAGTATGAAGACCGAGGAAATGACGCTCCTCATAAGACTAAGTTCGCTCTTTTCAGGCTCATATCAGAGTTGAAATTGGTTCAGTTCGGTTGAAATTTTAAAACCGATTGGTTGTCACCAATCTATTATCAATTTTAAGGATAATGAAGCTAGTCTATCTTATTCTTCATCAAAATCCTAAATCTAAGTTTTGAACTCACTCTTTCTCATAGTACAACAGAGGCCTCGAATTAGAGTGAATGTATTGATTATAGTCATAAAAAGTTAGCTAGTCATTAGATGGTTCAAAATTTCGAGCTCACTTTTAGAACTACTTTTAACTGACTATCAAAAACTCTTAATCTTCCGATTCAAAAAATATTGAAAAAAATCTGTCCCACTTAGATAGTTATGCTAGCCATTAGCATGATGTAACTGTGAAAATATCTAGGTATTAGAAAACATAAAAATATAGAGCCTAGTATAAAAACCAAACTTTACAGATCATTTTAATCTTCTTATGAGGAGTAGAATTCTTTTATGAATCGAGAAACCTTTGAATTTTGTTAAGCAATGATTTCAAATAAGAGATCACATCAAATTTATCAATTCTTCCGAGTTACTATATGGAATATGACAGATTAAAGTATAATTTGTTACTAATAGGAACCTCAAGAGTTATAAGAGTTCCAAGTTATATATATTCGTGGAACTTTAATAATAAATTTTTTTCGAAAGAACTAGTTAGTAAATTGTTATGTTAAAAAGTCGTTTCAATTTAAAATTATATCAGCGATTGTTTATATTACAGTTTGTATGGCATTGCATCGAAAAATTTATTTCATCTAAAGATCTACTACTAAACTACTATTGAATCTGATTGCAAATAAAAACTTACACTTCGATTCTTGATCATCGAAATTCAAATTTGTATTCTTTTTATTAAACACTATATGATAATGATCTTGAATATATACTAGTTTGTTATATTTAATAAACTTTTGGCACAACTTTCGATAGACACGATAATTTATGTGAAAGAAAATAATCTTAGAAAGAACTGCTTGTTATCATTCATCAGATTATTATTTGAAAACGAATCATTCATCTGGTTTATTTCTTTTTTTTACTTTCTTTTAAATCTTTTAATTAAAATCCATCATTAATATATATTTATAGATGAATTGACAAAGCAAAATTCATCGAAAGATAAAGTCTTAACACACACTAGACGTGTTTATTTTGATACAATTCTTTCCTAATTATCATGAATGTTTTCGACTATGAATACTGTCTAGAACAACTACACAACATGTAATACCCCCTTCAACAACAAATAACGAAACTGTCACAATTGGTAATGGAAATAGTAGTCTTTCATGTATCTATTTTAAAGAAAAAGAAGAATGTACACCATCTGATTTACAATTAAATACAAATGAGTGACCTATGATTGAAGCTAAGCAACAAAAAAATGAAAAATAGAATTGCGTCCTTTTTACTCTATTGTTGCATATTTAATGTGAAAATAAAACATGTTCAACATGATATTTGGTTACTTTTAATAGACAAGATGTCCATAAATAAGATTGAAGAATAATAAAAGACTAAAAATTTAAATGTTTTAATTTTTAATTGCATATGAATATTTCAGAAGAATTGTATGCAAAATTTTATTTTATACTTGTAATTAATATTGTAAGTGAGAGAAGACTCACTCTTTAGTACCTTGACACTTTCGTGACTTTATATTCATTCTTCTTCGAATTTAAATATTCAAGAAATTTCTTCTCTTATCATGTAAACTATAAAAGAGGGTTATAAGAACTTTACTAGGAAATTTGAAAATGGGTATTTATTCTGAATATTTATATTTAACCTTAAGAAAGAATATTTACAAGTAAGACATTGAAAACTTTTGTACAAATTATTTTTCATATTATATTCTAGAGATAACTTTAATATCTTGTCAACATTTACTCATTTTAATCGTCGTTGTTTTGTATATTGTCTTATTCGACGATTATTTTCAATAGTTACTAACGATTCTATATTATCTTCATCACTTATACACATTTGCATCATAGAGAATGATCTATCTGATTTTTATTTAACACAAAATTTAGTTAAACTTCGTCACATAATACCGACAACAATTGATATTATTGAAAAATTACCTTCATTTTGTTATCTTGTTCGATATGATAATGTTGTATCTGATCATCTTGAAATAAAAAATGTTATATATATATTTACAAAAATAGTTGAACATGAACATGTGAAAGAACTACAAGAATTTTATTATAATATTTACTTATAGTTCATCCATTGAACGTAATTTAAATATTGCTGATGAGATAACATCAGAAAACTTTTTTTTTCTGCTAAAGATTTTTCGTGAATAATACAATGACAAAACGGAAACAAAGCAAAATAATTTTTAAGTCATTATAAAAAAAGAAAACGATTTCAAATAGATGCATCAGAAAATATTCAACTTCAATCACAACTTGATTGTACTCAAACTACATGTTTTCATCTATTGATGATTTAGCTAAAACACATGCTACTGATGTTGTAGTACTTGATACACTTCGTCAAAGTCGAATACGACGTGTGATACTTGTTGATCAACGTGGACCAATGTAAGTCTCATTTACTTATAAAAGAACTTTGTGAATTTACTAAATTAACTGGCTTACAATCAATGTTAAACAAAGAAGATTTTAATCGAAGTGATCAAAATATGATTGATAAATTAGAGCGACCACGCAAAAAGATTAACCGAATTCATGTTTAAAATAGTTCAAATAAGTTTGTATTTTTGAAATTTAGTATTATTTTATCTAGAATGATCGAAATATGATACTGAACAATTTTTAGTATTTATAATTTTGGCACCGTCCAATAACAATTGTTCAAAGTATTAATTTCGAACATCCAGAATTTGCAGCAAGTTGTGATTTTTCTGATGAAAATCTATTAAGTCTAACAAAATAGACCTAAAGAAACCATACTATGTGGTTCTGTCATTAAAACTACAGATTATTATGATATCCAAGTAAGAATGAAGATAAAATTGTTTTTTTTCCCATTGAGTTCAAAAATTTAAATATTTAATAATCGGAAATGTAGTAGAGTGGAACGGATTATCTGTATAGAAGTCTAGACATGATACTGTTCATGTCTAGAGTAGTCACCATGAATGAGTGACTATAAATGTCTTCATGTATGTGAGAGATAGTATGTTCGAACCTAGACGCCAACCTCCTCTATACTATGTAGTTTTGGATAAATTATTGAAGACTAGAATCAATTGATCATAAACTGATCAATTTCGAGAAGTCTGACAAAAAAAATCAATCATAACTTGGTAAAGAAATTTTAATCATATGTAAATTGACAATTTTCTTTCGTTCTTAGAATCTTTCTAATCGACATGAAATAAATGTTTGGATTTTCTAATTGATAGTATACTATGACAAATTTGACATTGTGGATCAATACGTTCAACATCATTAATTAATTTTTCACACTTATCACGTTGATCACTACGAATGTCATCAAGTTTCTATGCTGTATCTGAACATGTACCAGCTATATAACGATTTGTTAGAAACCTTCAAATACATGAATGTATAAAAAATTAGAAAAAAAAATATGCAAACAAGTTCTGTACCGTTGACAAGTATCACAATATAATTGTTCAACGTTATTATTGAAGCCATCTGTAAATTTTTTTGTATAAATCAAAATATTTATCACAAGTTTCTCGTGATGTATATTTCAGTTCCAATGCTTTTGTTTCAATTGCTGTACCATATTCATCAATACCACAAATATATAAAGTATTATAATTTTTCAGCCGACAATACCTTAAACTTAATATTAACAATGAAAAAATGGATAAGAAATTGTTTGATTTTTACCGAGCAACAAAACATTAGCATTTAACAACGATCCAGTAAGAATATCCAAATGAGGTACATTGTTGACAAAAGGTAAAGTACGTGTCATCGGGGCACTTTGTACAGGATTAAAGTGTGAAACATGACGTAGTTACTGTTGTTAATCACAAGGAGATTGTTTTATTCAGTCTAATTTAGAAGAGATTTCTTCATCATTCTGTTACTTAATGCTTCAGAAATGCAATAAGGAAGTAGGGTGTGGGGTGTGGGTGTGGGGTGTGGGTGTGGGTGTGGATGGGCGTGGGTGTGGATGTGGATGGACGTGGGTGTCAGATACAAGCACATGAAAATCCGCACCCACACTCATATTCGCGACAGTGCGTGTGTATGTATGAAGAACCATGAAGAGAAACGAAATAGATGTAAGGTAATGAGTAGTTGTTATTTATCCAAACTTATCAATTTGAGAGAAGTCTAGAGACAGCTAGCAGGTTGCAAAAAAGCTCTGAATGAGATGCAATCACATGGAAGAAAGAAAAAAGAAATGCAGAGCCTTAATTTTCTTCTGCACTTTTTTATATACACTTTCTACCTTCCCATTGCCACTCATTGTGTAGAAGCGAATGGAAGAAAAATAATGATGGTAACAATCATAAAAATACATTTGTGTGTGTTTGTTTCGTTCTTCTGTGCTCTGTTAATGTACTTTGCTGATTTTTCTCGTTTGTCATGATTGCACTCCTCATAGGAAGTCTAGCAGAATTATAATACAATCAATCTTATAGGTAATTTTTTATTCGCGAAACAAGCGTTTTTATTTGTGCAAAGACATGATATGTTCATCACAATAGTAGTGCTTTTTTCGTTGCTTTTGCACTAAAAAAATCGATTTATGTCTTCAACATCACAGTCGATTCGTAGAAACTCCGTTGTCTACCAATAAAAGAAAAAATAACTAGTATAAGATTCATGTCTATTATACGAGTGTTTATTATTTATAAAAAATATGAAACTACAAACAATTTTTTAAAAATGAAAGTGAGACGTCTACGGGTGTGGATGTGGATGTCGGTGGGTGTGTATCGATGTGGATGTGGCTCGGGTGTGGGTGTGGGGTGTGGATGGGTGGGTCGATGTGGATGTGGGTCTCGGGTGCGAATGTAGGTGTGGGTGTGGATATGTCGGTGGGTGGGTGTGTGGATGTGGATGTGGATGTGGATGTGGGTGTGAGTGTCGGTGGGTGTGTAGATGTGGATGTGGATGTGGATCTCAGATGTGAGTGTGGGAGTGGGTGGGTGTGTGTCGACATGGATTTCGATCTGGGATCCGGGTGTGGGAGTGGGTGGGTGTGTGTCGACATGGATTTCGATCTGGGATCCGGGTGTGGGTGTGGGATGGGTATGCGGATGTGGATATGGATCTGGGATGTAGGTGTGGGTATGAATCACAAAAAATGGCAATCCCATCAACAAACACACACGCACACCCCACACCCACACCCTCAAAAAACATTCCGTTAAAAAAACATTTTTTTTTCTTAATGTAAAGAAAATCAAGAGGAGAAAAAACGTATAGGCAAGCTGGGTTCGACTGATTGTGTCAGATGGGGAACCGGATGTTACACAGAGTTTGATTGGTGTGATCGTCATGTATAACGGTTGCTGACTGTTTATGATTTCTTCTTGCATATATCACGGAAGATATACAGCATGAAGCGGGAGACGAGAGGATAGGATAGTATTGATCCAAGAATGACTGCTAATTAATACACGAGCAGAAGCATTCATATGTGCACGCGAGAGAGAGACAGAATGAAGAAAAGGTGGAAAATGATGAAACAAAGTGACCATTGACTATGATGAGTGGATCATAGAAAAATCCGTCACACTATTATGAAGCGATCGCTCCGATGGAGTCTTCTAATATACGGTTTCGTAGTATGGGACATCTTCTGTTACAGGCGGGATTTACTTACAATTATCAAAATAATAGAATAGCTCAAGCGTTTTATTGTGCTCGAAAAATTACAGGCATGGAAAACAAAAAGATTTCAAAAAGAAAACGAATATTCAATTGAGCAGGAAAAGCTTGAATTTTGTCATTTATTAATCGGGAATATGCTTCGAGTTAGTTCTCAATGCCAACTTACAGCTTGTGTTGCAGTAAAGTACGCTAGAAATTTTGGCTGTGTTGCTGCAGATAATGACCACAATGACAGCGACCATGTCCGTTGCCTCTGTATGCTGGACAGCCACAATGCCTGCACGGCCACTTCCCATCAACGCCACATTCAACTTCAGCGACTTCTTCGACCATTCCTTACAGTTCCCTTTTTTCTTTATTTCAAAATTTTGATGAATTCTCTTCTTTAACACACGTCAATACCTTAAATACACAAGAAACACAAGAGAGAGAAAAAAATCACAACTCTAAATGCGAGGGAATTGACTTAAAAAATGAGACCGACTTCGCTATGGGTGCAGGTGTGGTGGCAGCTGTGAGTTGGGGTGTAAGCCTGCGTGTGCCAGTGCGTGAAAGCAGGTTTCGAAGTGGATTTTTTATCAGCTGAAACGTACGCTCATTCTGCATAGGAGATTCGGAAATAGAAAAGTGGGTGTCATGCCCTGCATGTGCGCGTGGATACGTGGTTGAGCATGCGAACCTGACTGTGGCTGTGAACACTGAATACACCCACATCAACAGCTATACCCGCAGCCACACACCACACCCACCCACACCCCACACCCACCCACACCCACACCCCGCACCCACACCCCGCACCCACACCCACACACCCACACCCACACCCACACCCACACCCACACTCACACCCACACCCACACCCTACACCCCACACCCACACCCACACACACACCCGCAGTTTTAAATAGCAATTTCACGTATTCAGGAAATCGGATATACTAAGAAAGGTAAGCGATATCAAGCCTTGCAGCGGTCCTTCTTTTTTACTTTTCATACGAATAGGCTCTCAGAAATATCGAAAGAACTTATTAGCAATACCTAATTAGAGTCTGACATAGATAGAGAGCTCTCAGCGCTCCACGAAATGTTTAATATACCACAAGTCCAATGAAAAGTCTGTCAGACTTAGGCTAAGGTACGCATTTGGTGCTTCAATTTACGTAACACCCGCATGCAGGACTTGAGATACGTATAATGACGCTTCTCTGGAATTCGGTTACTGTTGAGAATTTCGGGCACATACTTCGTGACGAAACAAAACCGAAGCTGCGCTAGATCTGTGAGGGAACCTCTCGAGATGATAAACAGCTTTTGGACTCAGACTTACTTTTATCTTGTAGGCTCTAGTGAGTAGTGAAAAATGAGTGAATTATATCTGAAATGTTGTCTATAGAGAGATCTTATGAACACTAGAATATTCTAAAAGTTTCAGACAAAACGAATTAACTTCATCCTCTAGAAAGCAAATATCAGATTTCGTAACTAGCATAGAAAACCGTATGTGGCTTGAAGTCAAATCGACCCAGTTCGAAAACAAATATTCGAAAACTTAATTAGCAATGTGTCCCGTCACATGAAAACAAACTGTGAAGCTGACTCCATGTTATAGTGTGCCTACATTTTGTTTCATATAAGTTAAATTTTTATTTTCCTCATACAGAATTCTAGGTCAGAACACTCACAAACAACTAACTTTTAGGACGGTTCTCAGTCCATACTCCTTTATTCATTTAATATTCAAAAGAAAACCCAACAAATTACTCTCAGCCATTACAGAACTCATCCTTGCAGCAACGTTGTGTAACAGTGAGTCCACCAGTTATATTTTCTGATCTGTTTGAACAGTCTGTAGTAAAGTCTGTAGTAATTCCACGTTGAGCATGCAATTTTTCTCCGGTAGCACTACTGATGACCGTAGACTAGAAGGTAGAAAAAAATTATCTTTATGTTGGAGAATCGAGGTAATTCAAAATGAAAAGCCCTTACATAACAACGTTCAGTTGGTTGAGTCCGTTTACAAGCTATGGAATTTCCACAATGCGCAACTTCTGGATGCACACAGCTACTACTAGGCGAAGAACTTTGATCGTTACAAATAAAACAATTAACCGGCTGTGCTATTAAATCTAAACGACAAAAGGGTCAATCCATATGACACCTAACTCGTTAGACAAACATTTCGGCGCCAGTGACGAGAAACACATTTTCTGATGCAGCTTCGGACGCGGAATCTCAAGGCGAAAACCGCAACTCGCTATTTTTTTCATCCACAACTTCTCAAGAAAAAGATATAAACAGCTGGGAGGCGTCTCGAATTGAAGAAAATTTCAGTCCCTGTCTTTTTTCCTGACTAACTAGTTCATTGTTTGGCGGAAAAGTGAACATTGTAGTTGTAAGAATCACGCTTCCCCTTGAGGTTTCTGTAAACTATGTAAGTGAATAAAAAGACGAGGACTGAAATCTTTTTTTTTTCAAGTTGAGACGTCTCCTACTTCTGTACATCTTTTCATTGAAGAGTTGTTTGTAAAACAAAATGAACAAAAAATGTAACGACGTTGTAACTCCGGTACCTAAGTTTTCTGGACAAGCTGAGGAAACTCATATTGGCATTGCTGGCCAAGGGCTGCGGTTCCTGAAAAACTAGCGTTTCTAGAAAATGTAAAGCGCTTCTGAAAGTCTCAAAAACCCGTTCTGAGACCATCAATCGATAGCTTACTTGAATCTGTTTAATATTAGATCTCAGATAACTTTCTACGACGTTTCGGTTTCGGTGCTAGCGCAAACATAGATAGAAAGGTCAAAATGACAGGTGAAAGTTGAATTTTCTTTCGTTTACGCACCTTATCGAAAAAAACGTTCTAATGTCTCATCAGAACATCGTAGACAGTTCATTGATGTCTGACTTAGAACAGAATTGAATAAGCGTTATCGATTGGTGGTCTCAAAAAGCGTTATGAGACTTTCAGAAGTCCTTTAAGTTTTATAGAAAATCCTCGCTGTTCAGAAACTACAGCTCTTGACAAGAAGTGCTCACATCAATTTTTTCTTTAAGTCTGGATCAATTCAGTCGAGATCTTTCATTTAGAGCAAAAGAGATGGTTCTTCAAAGGGACTAAAAGTCCGAGCGAACTGGAATGAAATGGTCGTTTCAACTGTGACAAATAGTTTGTCTCTCACCTTTTTTCCCAAGAAAGATAGTGAACTGAGGTTTTCACCTTTGGATTCAGCGTTCAAAACTGCATTGTAAAATGTGTTTCTCATCACTGGCATCGAAATGTTTGTATAATGAGGTGGGATGTCATTTGGCTTTATCCAAATTCAAAAATGCACTGGATGGTGAGTTCTGCATCAGCCTAACTCTACACGGAAATTCACTCACTATTACTAAGATTGTCTATAGAGCAACACGTAATTTGTTGTATACCATACACGATCGTTTCATTCTGACATTTTGAAACTGCAGTTATCCCAGACATACCACATTTGTTATATGGTATAGTACTTATACCACGTTCAACATTATCAATTGTCGAATTTTTCATATTGTAGACAACTGATTCCTGATAAACAGTTATAAAGCCGATTCATAAACTGCATATTAGAAGCATTAACAACTTACATAGCAGGCAAAATCCTCTGTAGTTTCTTGTTTTGTCGTTTGGGAGTTTACGTTCATACATGAATTGAGATCGTCTGTTTTACTGTTACAGATATAGCATCTTCTCGACCAAGCATCCGTTTCTAAAACAAGATTAACAATTTAAAGCAGGATTTTTGCTCTGAATTGCTCACCATGTAATGAAACAGCGAGTAATAGTACACAGGCAAGGAAACTGTGCTGCATACTGGTTATCGAAAATATACTTAACTTTTTTGTGAAAGAAAGACACGGTAAAAAGAGCTGTTTGGAGAGACCCTTATATAAGTTTGTTTCTGATTATTTTTCTCTGAATAAAAAACGAGAGTGAAAAAGAGGGGAGACAAAGCCTTATTTGATTGAATATAGTAATTAATATTTTCAAGGACGAAAAAGCTTAGTGAAAAATAAAAACAATTATTCAACCGAAATAATCCCATATAATCCACTTTATCATTTCTTCGGGAAAAGCTGATGAAAAAATAAGAAATCTTTTCTGAGAGAAACGAAAATACGTCTAAATCACAAGGAAAGTCATATTTTACATTGGATACATCATTTTCTATACGTCTTTTTCTATACCTCCTTTTCTATACGTCCTTTTCTATGCTTCTATTCTTTGTGTTCGACCATTTACGTCGTTTTCTCATGTGAATTTCTTTATATTCTTTGATTTACGATGCATATCTCTTCTATTTTATACGTTGGGTTTTTAGATGATTTTTCTTGAAGTCTGTTTATTTAGATTTGCATCAAAAAGTATACTATTGGGTTGATGCAAAAGTCTCCGCCGATTTTTTAACAATTTTCTTAAAGCCCTCTAGCGTTACTATGCATTCGTGATTTTCATACATATGATACCGCTTGTGTCGTACTATAGGATGACATTGGTAAATGTCCCAGTTTATTTACATTCTTCATTAAAACATGTCAGAGATTCCTATTCATATCCGACACTGCATTTTGTATGAGTTCCAATTAGGGAACAATGCAAGTGCTGCTGCCCCCAATATATGTGCTGCACTTGGTGAAGGTGCTGTTGCTGATCGAACGTGTCGTGATTGGTTTAAAAGATTTCGTGAAGGTGACATGTCATTAGAAGATCGTCCGAGATCTGGACGTCCTATCGAATCTGACATTGAACGATTAAAAGTCCTGATCGAAGACAATCCACGATTAACCACCCGTGAATTGTCAGCAATACTCGGGTGCAACCAATCCACCATCGATCGCCATTTGCATGAAATGGGAAAAGTTAATAAACTTGGAACATGGGTTCCACATCAACTAACCTCGGTCAACATACAGCAGAGAATCACCATATGCAATTCTTTGTTGTCAAAACGCAACCGACATAGATTTCTTCAGCAGATAGTCACTGGTGATGAAAAGTGGGTTCTATATATCAACCATACGCTCAAGCGCCAGTGGGTAAATCCTGAAGATTTGCCCGAACCAGAACCAAAAAACGACCTGCACCCAAAAAAGCTGATGCTATCGATTTGGTGGGATTACGAAGGGATAATCTACTAGGAACTTCTACCTCCTAATACTACGATAGACTCGAAGCTTTACTACCAACAACTTCAAAATTTGAAGGTTGCTCTACATGCAAATCGTCCAGAAAGACGAAAAATTCGATTGCTTCATGATAATGCAAAACCTCATGTCTCAAAAGTTACCCGCCAGAAGCTGGAAGAATTAGAGTGGGAGATCTTACCCCATCCACCATATTCACCAGATTTGGCACCATCCGACTATCATCTGTTTCGATCGCTTCGCAATCATCTGGTCAAAAAACACTTCGATGATCAAGCCCACCTAAAATCGGACCTCGAAACTTTTTTTTTGTCTTTGTCTAAGAAATTCTTTGAAGATGGTATTCTGGATTTGCCTAAAAGATGGGAGTATGTAGTAGATAACAACGGTGTATATGTTGCTGATTGATGATATTTTGTTTCAATAAAATTTTGAAATCGAGAAGAAGAAAAAAATCGGCGGAGACTTTTGCATCAACCTGATACAATGTAATCCCGATAGAATTCTATTCAACTTGTTGTTTTTGCATGCTTATATATTCAAGAGTGAAAAATAAAGGAGATTGTTTTCTGGGTGTGGATGTTCTAACTTCATCGCATGTACCACAATTTCTATATATATAACCTTATAAGATCTTATCGCACATTATATTCGCTTAGAAATTAGGTAACAGATTTTGTGTTACCTGGTTAAATTATTCGCTTCGCGATCGCCCACATACTACAACACTCATGCTGGCGAGTTGATTTCGATCGAGATTTTAGAAAATTTCTTGTCATTTTGGGTATGGGTGCTCGTGACGGTTGGTGTGTGAAGCTATGAATGGGGGTGAAAGTAAACCTACACCAACGATCACACCCGCATTCATTCTTCCTAGTATATACATGAAAAAATTCATGCCAATTTATTCGTCCATCAGAATATCCAACGACTTAAACCTATAAAAAGAGTTTGATGTTTTAATATTTGAATGCTTCAAATAGATCCTACAATTCTCCTCGACGAAACGAATCTCAATTTTCTCTAAATATTGACGATAGAATCGATGTTTGAAGAAACACGCATTGATTCTCTGTTAATCTCCGGACGAAGATCGAATTTAAATCACTTTTTTTTCTTGTGTAGATTGAATCGATTCGTTCGTTCGTTTTGCAAAGAACTGATGGAGAATAGCAAGATATGACCTGGATCACAGATCGATCGATATCCATAGAGAGACTAAGTGAATGTCTTTCCTCTTCTGAACGATTCAATAAAAGTGAGATGAGAGTGAGAATAAGGGTCTTTCTTCGTCCCCATTCTTACTTACCCTCAATTGACAGCACTATTTTATAAATCGAAGTCTGCCGCAATATGGTTTTGTCGCAAGAAATCGATGCTGATCCATGAACAATGCACTTGTTTAGAAAAATAGTCAGAAGATTTTTTTAAAATCAACTTCGTGGAAATTTTCACAATTTATGCAATAAATTTGCCAAAATCTTTCAATGTTGATAGAGCTCCGCATACACAGTAAGTAGCAATGGCAACTTGCTGCTCAATTAAAATTCGATCGCCAGTAGCAATCGCATTGTCAATGGCTGGAAAGTCTGATGCTGTATAGTTATCATTTATTGCTGGCGTATAAAGGACATACCTAAATAAGCGAAGACACAGAACGGTACATATAATTCAAAGAAAATTGTATTGAATGTACATACTTCAAATCGACATTGTCTGGTCCTTATCCCAATGGATTTAGAAAAGCTCGTTCGTGTCATAGAAGTTGATCGTTGTACATTCAAATTCCGAAGGGACTATGTTTGCTCAATAAAAATTGTACGTATATTTTGCAGTAATGTTCAAGAACTGAGAAATAGGAATTCATAACTCAGTTCCACGGTTTCTTGGGAATTATCATAGTGTCACTGATAATTCTTCAACTGTTTAGGAATTCCTATTTTTTAATTCTTGGACAACTCTCGTATTTTTCTGCTTGTAGGCTCACTTTTGAATATCTATTGAGTTCGTATGAGTGGCAAAGACATCAGCAACCACACAAAATTCATCAATAGTTGCACGATGGGGACCTATAATAACTCTTACAAGCGTTATAAATGGAAAGGATTTCCTTAGCCACCTATAACTTCATCATATAATTTCAGAACAAACAATGCTTGCTGAAGAGCAATTTTGTATCTGATAACGTTGAATGGCAGTATTGAAGACTTTAACAAAAGCATCACCAATACCCCTGTTAACTGAGCTAGGGTTCTATGCGCCTACAAGTTTGAATAGTGTGTATCTGTCAGCAACAAAAATTGAAGTAAACCTAACATACGGCAAAGGTTGGATCGATAAATGTTTTCATCATGGAAAATACTTCATACGATGTATGATAAAGTGGATAATCTTCGATCTCCTCGTGCTTGACCGGATTGAACATATAAGCTAACAATGGAGGTGTTTGTGTTGTCAGTTAAATCAACTGGACATATTCGAGTCATATTAAAGCTCTCACCGCCAAACTAACAAATTTAAAATATTATATGCCTATAGCATAGCTAGAGCAAGTTACTTCAGTTTCAAGGTGTGTGAAATTTAGGTATAAAAATGAATCAGGGAAGGATTTGTCCACTATTAGAAGAACAAAGCAGTGTTGTTCGTGTCAATTATAGTGTTTGTAGGGATCCTCTTTTATATGGCCCGAACAACACCATGTTTTATCCTTATGATAGTAGAGTGAATTTTTCTAGTGGCAGATCGAAAACGTCGTTTCCATGAGCTACAGAAAAAATACACTCTACTATAATAAGAATGGAACATACGGTTATTCGGGCCAATCTTGGGGTTATCAAGGATGCTCTTTCATATGGTCTGAGTAACCATATGTTCCATTCTTATTATAGTAGAGTGTATTTTTTCTGTAGCTCACGGAAACGACATTTTCGATCTGCCACTAGAAAAATTCACTCTACTATCATAAGGATAAAACATGGTGTTGTTCGGGCCATATAAAAGAGGATCCCTACAAACACTACAATCGACCCGAACAACACTATGTTTTATTCTTACGATAGTGGACAAATCCTTCCCTGATTCATTTTTATACCTAAATTTCACACACCTTGAAATTGGAGTAACTGGCTCTAGGTACGCTATGGGCGCGTAATATTTTAAATTTGTTAGTTTGGCGGTGAGAGCTTTAATATGACCCAAATATGTCCAGTCGATTTAACTGACAATATAATACCTCCATTGTAAGTGGCAGTTAGACGAGTCAGCCAATTGATCAAAGCCAAGAAAATCACTGTCCGATCCAAGGCTAAATTCAATACTAATTAGAGAAAGTGATTCTGACAATTGAACAAACAAGAAGTCAATTCTTTTACATCGGCTCATTGATTGCATTATTTCGATGGACTCTCATCCATTTATCATAAACAGTTTGCCCAGGAGGATCATAAGCACTTGGTACCATTCTTGCAGCCTCAATTATTACATCAAATAATATAGATGATGCACTAGCTTCGATCGTGTAGTTACCTATTTAGAAAATTAGGGATGATTCTTCCACGAATAACTCAAATGTAACTCTACTAACTGCTAACAACCATACCCAAATTTAAGTGTGAGACGAGACGAGCCGAGCACGAAGTACTTTAACATATTCCTGAATATTCACATTG